ATGTATGTGTGTATGTATGTGTATGTGTATGTGTATGTATATGTATATATATATATATAGTGTGTGTGTCTGTGCCTGTACTCTAAGGTAGCACCGCATTCGTGCGTCTAAACGAGTTCTTTCACGCGTCATCTAGTCGGCATAGACGGGCGTATACTGAATAGTATTGTACAGAGTCTGTTCACTGCATTGAGGATTGGAAGAGTACTGCAAGTAACACACCCGTGTGTGTGTGTGCCACCGAAACTGTACGGTCAATACCCATCAGCACATCCAAGCAACTAACGGACATGCATCTCATCAACTGCCGCTCCATCGTCCCTGGAACTTCAGAAAAGCAACACACAACTAAAATAACTCGAGACCTTGCGTAGTGGCACACTTCGGCTGTACTACTTCCCAGTGTACTGCATTCGTACGTCAATGAAAGTTGATACTACTAGAACTGAGCGGGGCCATTACTGACTTAATATTTTATGTGAGATCAAATTGTATTCTATTTTTTCTTTAGCGCCGCCAACCGGCTTTCCAGATCATCCATATTCCCAACACCCGCCCCAGCACCACCAGAAGGTACCGAACTATCTTTGCCTGTGCCAGTCGCTGGACCACTGCCACCCATGGCCTCAGAAGCCGCGACCTTTGAGGGTGCAGAGCTCGCAATTGATGATGTAGGCGCCGATACAAGCTGTGTATAATTGTGTAGGTATGAGTATGATGGTGTAGGTATGAGTATGATGGTGTAGGTATGAGTATGATGGTGTAGTTTTGAGTATAATGGTGTAGGTATGAGTATAATGGTGTAGGTATGAGTATGATGGTGTAGGTATGAGTATGATGGTGTAGGTATGAGTACAATGGTGGAAGCTGTGTCACCTGGTGAGGATATACGACAGATGTGATACGAACATAGAGCATCACCTGTTAACCACTCTTTTAACGACAACACTATCACAACATCGACATAACGAATCGCGCAACCCAGATCATACACTGTTTAAAACCAGCACAATTCCCCAATACACTTTTCAGTGCAGACGTAACCTACAATATGTTCGAAACATTTAGCAGTTTCTGTGATGTCAGTATGCAACCACGTACCTGTTCTTCTAAGCTCAAACCAAGCTCATCTAACACCTTATTGACTATTTCATCGGTAGCTTCTTCATCGTCTGCGTCGCCTAATGTGTCTTCCATTACATCATCCATCATTTCAGCCTGTTAGCAGAGCACACACGAGGCATCAGAAGAGAAAGCGATAGTCAATTTCTCCACCACGTCCGCATGCGCGTTCAGACATTTAAAACGTTTTATGTACGAGCACATCAGAAGTTTGTAGTTCGGTATGTGGATGACGAATGCGCACAGGAGAAGAGAATGCGAACCACGCACACCGCAGTTAGCAAGTCGTATATGGGAAGTGTGCGGGATCTCTATCACACCAGTAAGCACTAGAAGTATAGCCTGTGATGGGAGTTATGCGTTTGCTCTAAGGTTCGAGTGTTCTTATCGAGATACTCAAGTGCATACATAGATACCATCGATCCGTTTTAACATGTGATGGTACGATACGGACGTACCAGAGAGGAGCCCAAAAATATGGGACACAATGCCAGTCCACACCGAAAATGAGACAGATTTGTTCGAGATAAGGTAATGTTTGGGATGCGACAATGAGAGAGAAAAGGAGTCAACAGAGCGATGAAATGTGTACTCTGGCCCCTGCTAAGGAACATCCCCCATTCATTTAGTGGTCAAGCGGACTCTCAGACCATCACACTCACCTTCATCTCCATCATCTCCGACTGCTTTTCAAACTCCATCATAATCTTCTGCATATTCGGCAGGTTCATTTGCTTGTTCATTCGGCCCATCGCCTATGTGTGCCATTGAGTCGAGTGAGGTGTCAGTAAAGGCTGTGCAGTACAAAGCTATTGTCTCCTAACCCGTTCGAGGGGTTGTGGTGTGACTACTCGCGTACTTCAGGTCCTTGCAAGTGACAGGTTGAGAGAGATGACGTCTCGGCATTGCATCAGTAGTGGTCCACACCCATATCAAACACGCATACAACCGCGAACGCACCTAAGTGACAAGCATGCAATAAGTTAGGTATTTATTGCAATGATACGAACACGTGTACTGTATCTATTACCGATGACTATACTATACGTAGGTAAACCCTCGTGCAAGTACGACACCAATGGGCATTCTACCCCAATCATAGCCACCACATAAACAGGAAACCTGCTTCTTCTGTACCTACTTGCATCATGCAGAACATACAGCGTATACACCCATAGCCACCTATATGATATATGTACGCATACAAAGCAGCGCGATTCCCAAACTCATAGAGCCAACCCCTCAGCCACACCTTGGTAGCGCCGGCCATAGCCCGTGCCATCTGATCGTTTGTTTTCATTTCGTTGAGTTTCATCGAGATGCCTTGCAGTTGTATCTTCATCATCACAAACTTGTGTATCGACCCGCGCTGGCGGACCAAGTCCTTCGCCATCATTTGCAGCATAGCCTGCAACAGCCAATCAAACCACCTTATTGAAGACGAGAGACATTCACATCCAATCAAATGGCACGAATAAAGTTCATGAATGGAGGACGATACATTAAATATGAGTTTTGTATCACAGCAAGATACACTTGAGTGTACGAATTCAATATCAGGCGGTTGAGCAAACGGCTAACACTCGTGCCTGGCACCAAGTACTGATAGGTGATGCATGCCCTTAGCATGACTATAGAAGATTCCTAAATCACACCATGAACACGGAGACGCTACCTGGGAACCACCCTTCTTTGCTTCGCGCTTAATCTCGACTACCAATTTCTTCTCGGCAGTTTCGGCCCTCATCTTTTCTCTGTCCATCTCTCTGATCTGGTGAATTTAGTTATAAAAAAAAGACAACGTAGAACATCAATTATACAGAATTTGATATTGAGAGACTATCGCAGAAAATATTTCAAATGGTCTTTCAATGATTCTGCAAGAGATTGTGAATATATAAACATTAAAAACAAACTATCAATGTACTGGATCACAAATGAAATACATATAAAAAAGGGTGGGGGGCAGATAAATAGCTCAATGTACAAGTGAATAAACACAAATATAAATCTATATATA